CTTCACAAATTAAGGACCCAAAAAGACATAAATATATAAAACCAAACCTCTTATTTTTTCCTATTTTGTTTTTCTTGTTGCTTATAAGCATCTCATATTCAGTAAACAATGACAAGAGTATAAATAATGGAACTTAACACATAATTTTTTTTTTATTTTACAGAAAGAACTTCAGATGCAATTAACCACACAGCATATGTTCAAAACAATACTAAAACATTTGGAACAAGGCACAGTCAACCACAAACGAGGGTCCATGTTTCTTATAGCAAGCATTGTAGAAGGAAATGTTCCAGGCCAGATCTTAGCTCGAGAATCAGGATGCTTGTACCAATTGATATGGCTGTTTCATGAAGTCATTCAACAAAATACTAAAGTTAGTGATAACACTATAAAATTCAGATAAACTGGTATGAACAGTTAGTTGTGTCATAGCAATGACTGTCTTGCATAATTATCAGCCTTCCTCTTGCTAGTGCATTACAAAGTGAAGACAACTATTGAGGCATGTGATGTTAGACTTAGGACAGAAAGGGGGCACCTGACTGGATTAAGTATATGGTGATAAATAATGTGGTAACAGTATTTAATAATAATGGTAATTTGGGCAGCATTCATAGCAACACAACAGGCATGACTAGCTTCACAGTCTTATGACTTTGTCTAGCATTGCTTGATAACTTCATAAGCAGCACTATAAACAAAAATATAAGCCAAGTAGAATTATAAGAAAGAAGTCAAGAGTCACTATTGTTTTATTTCCATATACATTTATATTTTTCCTGATTCTGATTTTAAAAGCTACTGTCATTCATATCTGCCATCCAGCAATCTCTCATGCCACCTTAAAACAAAAGCCCTAAACATCTGTCCTATTTCTTCCGTTTTATTTTCTTCCTTTAAAAATATCTTCTAAAAGTATTTTTTGAACAAGGTCAGAATGTACCTTTTTATATTTAGCTCTATCTGTAATCTCTTTGTGTAAAAACGTTTACCCTCTGATTAATATAAGACAACAATAGGCAGATTATATTTTCTTTAATTGAAAGATGAAAACCTGTATATTATGATAACTCTGTAAATAGTTCTAAGTAATTTTTAAGAACCTCAAGTCATACTGTAATGCAAAAATTTCCTTTTCTTTATTAGGAAGAAGAAAAGTCACAATGTTTGTACTTCCTGTGTACTGCTATTAAGATGTGTGTTCATAACCCACAAAACTGCGAAAATCAGCATCAGACAAGTCTTATTATACCAAAGGTATACATACCCTTTCACCTTTTTACAATATCTACCAGACTACATGGTGTAAATTCCAGAATTTGTCCAGTCTTCACTTACTAATTTGTTAACATATATACTTACAAGCATATCAATAGCTGAAAGGTTTACAACAAATGTAACCATTATTGAAGTGCACGGCTATGAATATGTGGACTGAACTTCATGACACATAGGCTTGGTAACAACTGACCTGACTTTCCCCACAGCAGGTCGAGTATATTTTCAGGTACTGACACGTGTTTTTGCACCATATCAGCCAAGAGTGCTTGCTCTTCCTGTAAACTGCATGACAGTGGCTTGTCTAGTACAGCAGTTCCTTCAAGTCAATTTTTATCTTGTGTTGAAATATAATGTTGAATCCTCTTGATTTCATGCTTATTTTATCATTACAGGCTATAACTTTCCTTGACAACTGGTTTCATGAGGCATTCAACTCATACTTGACAGAATGTGTAGATACAATGGTGCCCATGTTGGTCAATATAATCTTGGACAATCCAACCAACCAACTCAGTTTTTCCACCTATTCAGGAATACAAACATTGGTCATGTAAGTTGTCAAGTTAAAAGTTTCATTAACAAACTGACTACTAACTAATGCTGTGGTAGCAGAGGCTTAAGGTTCAGAATAGCTGATACCAAAGCCCACCACATGACACAACTTTGAGTATTTTAAATGTAATTACAATTTTTTATGACAGTTATTCTGTCCACTGTTTTGTAACATTGTGTCCTAAAATAAGAATATAAGTAGAATGTATTAAAAACAAAGTGCCAAGGATAGTAGCTGGCTTATGACGGAGATAGATATGTAATCATAGATTGAACCAAGAAATGTCTACAAAATTGTGGGGACACCAATGTAGATGGTCAAAGAATGAAGAGAATAAAAGGAAATGAGGCCAGATTTCAACTCAGATTGGTGCATATTTCTTTTGCTGTTACAGCCTCATTCAAGCAGAAATTAATTTTATTTTTGCCCTGTGCCATAACAATTCATTTCCTTGCATGCTGACGCTAATATACTATTATCTTATGTACCCTTGATACACTACATCTTAATGTAAAACATGACATGCAAAAATTCATTTTACATTGTACAATGTTCAGCATGGCAAAGTGTTAAGGTGGTGACAGTGTACTGTATTTATTTTCTGTTTCCAGAGGACTGAATACATTGGAAAGTTGGCAGGAGGCACCACTTAATATAGAAACTGTTAAGGTGAAAATTATCTGCTTATTGGATGCTGCCATTTGTGGCAACATTGTTAACAGCGAACAAGCTACAGTGCTGGGTGTAATTCCTCTCTTATTAAAAATGTTACAGAATTTTACAGATCAGGTGAGTACAGACATGAACTGTTTTATGTTTTGTTACAAGCTCTTATTTTGGGATTTATATTTGTAATGTAGTTAAAAACATTCAGAACAATTTTCTGCTTCTGGAAATTTGTATAACCAGTGTTATCCTTTCCAAAGAACACATTTTGCAATAGCACAATGACACAGAAAAACTAAAACTTGTAAAACAGGCTTTTGGAGTATACTAAGATTGATTCTGTGAGAAGCTATTGCAACAAAGGGTTACTACATCTGTAAAGAGTGGAAATTATACTCTAAGTAAAGAATATATGATTAATGAAACAAAATTTAAACTTTTTGTCCAAAGAAGTAAACTGTGAATTGGTTTCACTACCATCTAATGGAAGAAATGTTTCATTACAACTCAGTATGAGGAAACAGAAATGAGAAATTAAACTTCATACAAGTGGTGCCACTGAAAGTAAAAGCCTGTTAAGGATGCTGTTTTTCAAAACACTGGATAAGCCATACAGTATATAATATGTAGCCCCCAGAATTCAATACACCAGCAGCAAGAAATTTTATAACTTGTTTAATTAAGAGTGTTTTCTTTATATGCAGAAGTATATTATATATTGTATTTATTTTCTTTTGTAAATAGCATAAATTCAGCCTCCTGCTTGCATTAACCCACTTGGTAGAGAATTCTCCAAAGAGCAAGGAAGAATTTTTACAAGCAAATGGGATTACTGCTGTGGTGGTTGCAACTGTGAATCTCAACACAGATTCACAGATTACAGTTGCTGCTAATTGTCTTTTGAAATTATGTGCAACAAATGTTTTGAGAGATAAATATAATTACTCTCCAGACAGTCCACAAAGAAACATAAATCATCATGAAACTGGTATCAATATATGTAATATAGAAGGAAAAAAACAGTCAAGAACTCAAGAGCTGGCATTTGTAGATGTTAATTCTAACAAAGAAAGTAACGTTAATAATGATATATTTGATGACAAATCACAAAGAAGAATATGTCAGTATGAAATCATTAATGACCAAAACAATAACATGCAAAGAGAAAACCAGTTAGTAACTGATGAAATTAGTGCAGATTACCTCAGTTCTACAAAACAATTCTGCTTTATTAATGAAGGCAACCCAACAAAACATATGAACAAGGCAGTGCAAACTTGTGACCTTGTTAGGTCAAACTTAGATTCCTGCTTTTCACTTAATCACAATGAACAGAAGATTCTGCCAAAACAAAAGAGACAATCTTGTGCAAATGATGACACTCAAGGCCACAGCAGAGCATGTTACAATAATCCACGCACACAAAACAATAAGACTGCAATGCAAGTAGGCAGAGATATAAATGACAGACATTTGACTAAAGATAAATCTGATATCTGTAGAGTGTTGCACAATCAGCATCAAGACAGGCACATACAAGAGACATCTGAGATTGTGTCCACCTACAGTACAACAAAAAATCTTAAGAATTACAAAATTCCACTGCAGAAAAGCCATAAGCCTCACGAAGATACACAGTCAAAAACATATCAGCAACATGATACTCCCAAAAAAATGGAAATCCACTCCAGTCAGCACCATGAGACATGTAGATCTATACCATGGGCATCTGAAGAAGTATGTACCTGTGACAGTACAAAAAAGCCAATGAATTATTTTCATCAAGATTGCAGGCTTCCACTTCAGGAAATCCATAGTTCTCAAGAACTATTACAAACTATTCCACAACAGTACACTTCCAGAACAAGAGAAATTCACCTAAATGAAGTAAACTACCCAGTTAACACTTTCCAGAATCCAGGGGTATGTAGTTCAAACTCAAGGAAACCATCCAGTATGTATTATTCTCTTCCTTATCCAAAAATTTCTCATAATACATGTCAAAAGGAAATAAACCAGCAACAACATACTTCCAACACAAAGGAATTTCATCACAGTGAAGTAAACAGTTCAGTGAACAGGTTCCTGAATCCCCTGATATATACACCAAATACAAGCAAACCATTCAGTACACCTTATTCTTTATCTCGTCTAAAAATGCCTAATACACAATGGAAGGACATAAACTGGCAACAGTGTACTTCTAACACAAAAGAATGTCACTCTGTAGAATTAAATGATTCACTAGATACTTTCAAGTTTCCAGTGCTACATACTCCAAGTATCAACAAATCATCCAATGAAGATTATGGTGTTTCTCACAACACATGCAAGGCAGAAATAAACCAGAAGCAGTGTGCTTCCAAAGTAAAGAAAATTAATCCCAATGAAGTAAACACAAGCAATACACAGTACTGTCTTTCTCATTCCAAAATATCTTGTAACACATGTCACAGAGAAATAAAGCAGCAACAAATTACCTCTAATCCAAATGAAGTAAATGATTCATTTAAAATTCTGAATCCATCACTACACACTTCAAATAGAAGCAAACCACCCAAAGCACACTACTCTTCTGACATGTTTCACAGGGAAGAGAAACAAGAAGCAAGCAATGTATTACAGAATTTTGCCAACAGTATCCCAAGTGTTGAGAAATCATTAAGATGTTTATCATATACAATTCACACTCCAGTCAATATGGCAAAAAGATACCTGAGAGAGAAATTTTTCAGGAATAGCAGGACACAAGTAAATAATACAGACATAAATAAAACAGGACAGGAATTCAAGACAGTTGTACATATTGAAGAGGAAGATACATTACAAGGAGAGTTAGAAGTCCAAAAATCCCAAAATATGAAAGTAGATAAAATTACTCCTATGATGGAGAACACAAATTACAGAAGTCCACAAAATGAGAAAGGTATTCCAAGCCCAATAATAAATCAAGATAAAGAAGTTAATGCATCAACTGAACAATTACAATCCCCTTGGTTAAGCAGTGTTAATTCTTCTATACAAAGAGAACCAGAAAATAAGCTGACGAAAAGTATATGCACACCTGTTAGTACTCCAGTTACACCATGCAGTTTGACTTCACATACAAAAAATTCAGTACGGCATAGACATAAGAATTTACAATCTCATCAGTTCCATATGTTAAGGTATTCAGAGGAAGAACTCAACAATCTTGTAGCAGGAGTTGCAAAGTATGGACTGGATTTCAAGGCATGTATATTTTTAAAAATTATATATTAGTGCAATAGGAATTAGGCAGTTACAGCTAAACGGGGGG